GAGGTACACTTAAAGCTTCAGTCTGCTGCCAGTAGTACTATCCTAACTGTAATGGCAATTTTATACGCACAAATGTTCAGTTAGTTAGGGACATGTTACATCCTTCGCAGATACATCAGCAGGGGGAGAGTGAACAACATGAGGGGATGTGTGCCAGTCCTTCACAGATTGCCAGCTATACTCTTGTGAAGAAAGGTTTGAAGTTTCATAGAGTAGATACGAAGCCATGCTCTCATTAGCGGCATCTACTGGGTTTCTAAAAACTACCCTCTTTTGAGGAGTTAAAATACTCTATTTTTGCTCCCATTCATCCAGCTCTACCTGGGTTGGTGATAAAGGCCTAAAGGATGTATCCTTGTTTTCTTTGTAATTCAGATAACTACTCCTAAATTATTTTACTACCATTGATTCTGAAGCAAAAACCTAACTGACTTATTAAGGATGTCTATGTTTTATATTCAGTTTGGCTTTCTAATGGAAGACACAATTAAACTTACAATGATTAAAGTGTATTTTCAAATCAATTCTCTGTGAACTCATTTATGAGGCTCTTGTATCTCTTTTTGATGTTTTTGTCTGAAGAAATAACTGTCTCCAATGGCCAATCTGTGTTAGTCAAACAAAACAGTGTACTTATGGTTTGCTTTCCTTAGTAGTTATAATAGCTGACTGGGAGCATGGCAACAGTGGGACCTGGTGATAAGTGAGGAAAGGAGGTAAGGGAAAACACGCTTGTGTACCAGTGCTTCAGGCAGGAATGGCTGTACCATTATTAATATTGTGACAACATGAAAAATCAGTGGAAGCATGAAGAGATGCCACACAGTTTTTCCCTCTTTCCCCCCCCCCCCCATATGGAGGACTGCTGAAAGAAAATAAATGATCAAGGGGCCTTTCAGTGTCTTGGAGACAGACTCAGTATGTAACCATTAAGACATTTTGCTCTCCAATGAAGTTAGAGAATGACACAAAAGAATAAAACACTTAAAGTGCATTAACATAACAGTTCCATTGTCCTGAGTGATAGTTAATGCTGTTGCACAAGTAGTTGAAAGATGAATGGTATTTCAATGTGTTATATGGAATTCAGGATAAGAGAAAACTTCGTATGATTCCCCATCATTCTTCCCGTGCCTGTATCACCAGATATGAAATACTCAGTTCCCTCATTTGCCCTCCAGGACAGCTACTAATTCACCTA